AAGAAAGGGAAAATATCGATAAAGCCCCTAAAAGGTGTTGAACATAGTCTCGCAACCAAATTCGGGCTCGAAAGTCGGTTATGTAAGAGGAAGGTATTAACATCCTTCACATTTATTGTACTCAATGGAAATCATCTTGTTTGTCTATGCATGAGTGGATATCGTTTATCTAAAGGTTACTTGCTAAAGGGAAATGAAGGGGTTTTAAATTAGCGTGCTCACCAAGGACTAGGGCCCTTGTGCCTACGTATTTCCATTATGAAATAAAGAATCATAGCTTCTGTAGTTCGGAGAACTATGGGAAAGAAGGTTGTGAAAGAAGGTAGCTCACCAAGGATTTGAGCCCTTGTGCCTACGTATCTTCATTTGGACGGAAATGAAGAATCAGAGCGTTCGTAGTTCGTGGAACTAAATGATCGTGGGTTTGTTGTTTTTAGTAGGCGATGTTAATGTTCACATCCTAGCAATAGGTTTTGTCGCTCGCACGTAAGAAGACTTATGCTTTAGCCTGTGTTGCGGTAGAATGGAAATAACATGCCTTTTTGAAAAAAGGTTTTGGAATTTTGCCCTCGAGGCAAGATGTCACGTTTGATTGGTGAAGTTGTTTTTTGGAGAGAAGATTTGTTTTAAAATTTGTGAGGCGAGTCTAATTGTGGGTACTTATAGGGAGATGAGTATCCAACCATAGGCTAAGTACGGCCCACAATCAAATACTCGAGAGTTAAGGGGACAATGTTATCCTAACTACTCCTTTTTGCCCTAATAGGACCGGGTTAAACTCTTGTTTGGGTTAAGTATTTTTGTGAAAGTTTGAATCTTATTATGGAAAAGGTGGATGAAATGGAAAAGATGAAGGATTGAATTATGGTAGGTTGATGGCAATGCGCGAGGCGATCAACTTACAAGGTGCGTACATACAAGGCTTGCTTGTGTTTAATGGAATGGATTATATGTAAGTAGAAGAAAGGTGTAGGAAAGACCTAATGTGACGCGGGGGAAATGATCTAATTAATAAGTTTGAAAATGGCTCGACGTTGGATCGATTTTTATTTTCCCTTTGTTTTTTTTTTTTTGAATTCCTTTTCTAAGTGATTTCATTTTTATCTTTCCTATCCTATTAACATGCAAGAATACAAGCATACCAATATAAATCGGAAAGTATAAGGTTTCTACGCTATTACATTTGCAAGGGAGAGAGGACATTTTTCCCACAATGGGGGGATGACATGAATTTAAAGAAATAAAAGGAATAAAGTATAAAAGCATGACTAAAATTCAAATGTCCAAATGACAAACTCTTCAAATGGTACCTCACAAAACAAAACAAGAGAGTTAGTATGACGTAATCATGAATGAATGTAAGAATCATGTATAAGATGAATCTAAATGAAGTGTGAAATCACTCAAAGACAAAAGCCTAAAATCAACAAATTGACATATCAAAATTACTCAAATTATGTGTACAAAAATTCTAACAAAATGGTCACATGAAGAATTCTACAAATGATTGTCAAAATTCAATAAACTAATTCGCAAAATTCAACAAGGTATGTTGTAAAATTCTAGAAAAGAATATTAAAACTTCAACAAGAATTATAGTCAAAACTCCACAAAATATATCACCAAATTCTACAAAGTAACACCACAAAAATCTAAACAAGTATAATACCACACCATTTTTAAACAATTATAATATCATACAATTTCTAAACAATAAAGAAAAAAACTAAATATTCCACAAAAAGAATATCTAATATCCTAAAAAAGGAATATTATCAAAATCTACCAAAACGAATATTAAAACTAACAAAATGTAGAGAACAAGGGATGCAGGAGTGGATCGGGGAGTGTATTGTGGTTAGAAGAAGAACAAGGCCCACTTTTAAGGCCTAGTCTGAATTTTCAGAACAAGGTCAAAAAAATCACACAATACACAGATCCGTTGGATCTGGATTCCAGTCGGATTGAGTGTGAGTAGCTGGTTCTAGGCAGGAATCGGTGAAGCGTTACCTATGGTGATGGTAACAATTTTTGGTGTGCTCTGATCATATGGTGGGGATCAGGAACGAGTGAACCTGAGAGTTCACAATTGGTACCACATGCATTTAGTCATGGAGTTGAGTCTCATTGCATTGCATACATGTTATATTATGATATTCATATTTTATGGAGTGTGGGTTGTGGAATGGGTGATTATGTATGTAATAATTATGTGCTTACATATTATTATGCATTTCATTATATGATTGTGAATTCTCACTCCTTTTGTCTGAATGTTGTCTTTTCACGGGCATCGTGCATATAATCCACAGTAGAAGTGTGGAAGTGCATGGAAGAGATTACTCTTCTTTATGCTTTTGCTCAGTCGGCGTCTGCTCTGACATGTAACACTGGGGAAAGAACGCTTATTTTGTTATTTTATGTTTGGTAGAGATTATTATGTGAATCTTCTATGTTTGTCATTTTCTTATAATTACATTGTGTTATGATTATATTTGAAAAGCTAAACTAGCCAGTTGTCTAATGTTTTTCCGCTGCTAATAAAATGTTGAAGTTCAGACTTGTATTATGATTCCTTTCGTTTTTAATTTCATATGTGTTATATATCCTATTATATGAGCTCTTTGAAGTTGAATGTAACATCCTAATTGCTTAATTCATTTAATTTACTATGATTTTTATTTATAAATTACGTCAGGGAAATTAGGGTGTTACAAAAATATCAGCCCGACCAACAGTATGTAGAGAGAGTCGATAAACAATCCGATAAGTGTAAAAAGTGGCTTCGAAGGAAAACTCAATCTTCTTTGCTTCATGAAGATTTTAAAGATATGCAAGATCCTCTTTCAACATCGCAACAACACCCTATTGAGGAATGCATGGAAAATTGAGAAGGAAAATTAACTTGCAGTTTAAGAAGAGGAGTGGACGACCCGAAAGCGGCACACATAGACAATCAAGCCCGTTTAACAAAATCTTCCTTTAAGAGAGCACTTTGATCATGATCTCAATTCCTTTTGGTAGTAGTATGAAGGGACCATGGCCATTCCTCATGAATTGCAACAACAACCCTGAAAGAAGGTTGTCCCGGGTCAAGAGAGACCAGTGAAACCCCGACAATGATAGGTATATTAGAACTGACGGGATGAGGAGTGGCAACCCGAGTCGAAGGAGCAACGTTGACACATTGATCCTCCTACTCTTTAGCAATAACGTATACCTTTCTCAAAGAGTTCATGTTATCTCCAAATATCAAAAACTCATGTAAAAAAATCCACAGGAGGGAGACGACTTTATCCTCACCAAAAATCTCATTCCTCTCCAAACTACTGGTTATGCCCTCGATAGTGCAAATATCAATAGATTGTTTCCTCTACAAAGAAAATTTCACCTCAGTATGTCTAAACCCATCCTTATAGCCGAGACTCCAGTAAAAAAATGTCAAAATCTTTCTTCATCATAACTTCGCAAGGAGTGAAAGAATCCATACATACGACATACGTATGAGGTTCATGATTGAAATGGATCTAAGTCCAATATTTTTGAAACTTATATGTGCAAGAACGAGAAGATCCAGTAGAAACATAATAGATCATAGAGTGAGCTTCAAAGGTACATGGTTTCTTCATCACAAAATGCCCCCATAAATCATCTAGCTCTTGGAGAAAGGGATAAACTACAGAACTTCTTGACGTAACAAGATGAACCTTTGATCCCAGAAGTTATACCTAAAGGTGTGTATTACTAGGGTTGTTTGCGGTGCGGTTTGGACGGTTCTGATGCTAAAAGTCACCTGAACCAAGATTAAAAACTTGCAGTTTAGTTTGGTTCAGTGGACTTTTAGAAATAAAATTGAACCAAACTAAATCAATGCGATTTAGTTCAATTTTTTACAAAAATTTTATCGAGTCATACATACACGTAAGATGACAATATAAATTGTATTTAGTCATTCATATACAATCAAATAACAACAAAACTCGTCATATTTGAACAACAACTTCTCATTTATTTAGTATGTAAAAATCTGATTTGACAAAAGTGGAATAATAAACGAAAAACAATAGTATAAAATGATATAAAGATATTATAATAAAATAAAAAATAGAGGAGATGAGATATTAGTGGTGATGAAAAATAAAGAGCAGGAGAGAGAAAAAGATTAGAGAAGGTGAGGTGCGAAAAAAACAAAACTAAATGAGAGACAATAAGATAAAAATGAGAAAGTAACAAAGAAAAAATATTAGAGTGCAGAGATTAGAGAGGAAGCTAGAAGATATATATGGTGAAAAAAACACAATAGTATTAGGAGAGATTTCAGAAGATTGAAACTGAAACCCTATGTGTGAGGAAAAGAATTGTTTGTAATCGTAGGGCTTATGCATAATTGGTTAGAGTTTGAGTTTGAATGTGAGTTAAGTGAAATTTTGACTGTAATATAATATAGTTTGGTACGATTTACAAAATACAAACCGCAAATCATGCTGAACTGAACATTTTTTGTTAAAATATAACTCAAACATATTCGAATTAAATACTATTTTTTGCAATTTTTAATTTAATTTAAATTAATTTTAAATTTTCTATTGAGCTTGTTTGATTTTAAAGAGTATTATATAATACAACCAAAAGAGGAAAGAACAAGTGGCACGATGGGTTCCAAGATAGAAATTGTAAATGTAAAAGATAAAAGAAAATAAAGCGCAGATAGTTAAGAATTAAAAAGATTGATTGGGCGTCGGCGGAAAAATGAATTCTACAAGACTAGAGCGTGGGCACAAGTCTCATTCATTGATTGAATAGTATTATAAAAAAATAAATAGATGGATTAATTTGATGAGTAAAGTAGAATAATAACGTTGGTATGTGTGGCTTTGGATTCTTATGTGAATTGGTGCTGCTCGCTGAGCTCAGGTCAGCATAAACCCCACTCTCACCCAACCTCATCAATTACAAATTTAGGAATTTTGACTACACAAGAATATCCTCTGGGTTTTGGGATGGTGCTTCTCTTCATCGCTACCTGCATTCTTCTTTTCAATGCCACCACCGCCACAGATCCAACTGATGGTTTCAACTCTTTTTCTCTTACAATTACTACTTTGCATGCCTTCTTCTCAATTCATTCTCTTGTGTTTTATGCAGTTGCTTCTGTAAAGGCTATCTTCCAAAGCATCAATTCGCCGCCCCAACTAGGCTGGCCTCCCAACGGCGATGATCCCTGTGGACAGTCCTGGAAAGGCATTACTTGTTCAGCCAATCGTGTTACTGACATGTATATACTTTCGCCTCTTTGCTTTATCATCGTTATTATCACTTTCTCATCATTACTCTTTCAGCAACTTATCCAATCTTGCTCTAAACGGGTCACTCGCTTACGGATTAGACCGTTTGACATCTCTCACTAATCTGTAAGATTGTTTCCCCCATTCAACACATTTCCTTTTTTATCTTCATTCTTTCTTACCTTCTCACCTTTTGCAGAGATTTGAGTAACAACAATCTTGTTGGACCCATACCATACCAACTTCCTCCCAATCTCCAACGTTTGTATGTCATCTCTTCTCAATCTTCTATTTATTTTATCTACATCATATTATTCTTTTTAACAATCTTCTTTCTTTCTATGCAGAAATTTTGCTCATAATAACTTGACCGGGACACTTCCTTACTCTATTTCTAACCTCACTTCCCTGACTGATCTGTATGTAATTCTCTTCTACATATCAACGACATCACATCCACGGGATAATGCAAATCTATTCATTCCCTCATTATTGTTTTTTCCGAATGTAGGAATCTCAATCACAATCAGCTCCAGCAACCACTCAATCTCAACTTTCAAAATCTTTCTGCCCTATCCAAATTGTGAGATTTCCTCCAACCATTCAACCGCATGAAAAACTAGTCTACATGGATGTCAAATTATATTAATTGTTATCACTTTTCACCTTCCATAGGATTTGATTAATTTTTTTATTTGCTTGCCATTTACTACACATTATTGTTTTTCATTGCATGTTAAGACCTGCGCTATCTCATGCCATATAGTTTTGGTACTTTCATAGTTTACATGCTCTTTGTTTGCAACCGGACCTATTTTTGGGTTTTGATAATAATTCAGGACGGAATGAATTAAAATATTTTTCTTGTTGCAGAGACCTCTCTTTCAATTCTTTGACAGGCGACCTTCCTCAGACTATGAGCTCACTTTCAGGCATTACCACCATGTAGATATCCAAATCATTGACGCTTTGTGCTAATTCTTTTGCGTGTTATTGATTTCATTCTAAGTTGGCATGTTTACATTTGTGCAGGTATCTACAAAACAACCAGTTTACAGGCACTATTGACATTCTTGCTAATTTGACTCTGAGTAGTCTGTGCGTCTCTATTGTATTATATAATATCCTTTACTATATTTCCATAAGAAACCAGTTGTGTTTATGTCCTCAAATTATTCGCAGGAATGTAGAAAACAATAATTTCACAGGTTGGATACCGGAGCGGTTGAAAAACATAGACCTTCAGTAAGCATTGCCATTATCAGCAATTTGGTAACTAGGAATCTAATTTTCCCCATAAATTTCTCCAAGCATAAAAATGGGACAAATTTAATGACAGGACGGGTGGTAATGCGTGGAGCTCAGGACCTGCACCACCCCCTCCTCCTGGGACGCCTCCAATACCTAAAAGCAAACAACACCATAAATCAGGTGGGGGAACTACCACTGGCCAAGATGCTGGCAGTGGCACAAAAGACGAGGGCAAAAAATCGGGAATAGGAGGTGGTGTTATAGCTGGAATTGTGATCTCCATCATTGTTGTTGTGGCAATAGTAGCATTCTTTCTAGTGAAGAGAAAATCGAAAAAGTCATCTTCTGATTTTGAAAAGTCGGGCAACCAGTCTACTGCCCCCCTTCCTTCAAATGAAGCGCACGGTATGCATCTTGCATACGATTCACATATATTTATTATTTTTCACGATGAGTTCATCATTATTCTATGTTGCTCATTTTTATTATATTAAGAACATTTTCCATATTTTTACTCTATAAGATTTGCATTTCATAAGTTAGTTATATTTTGAGAAACCACCTCTCTATTGGTTGTTATTATACAAGATTCTGCTTTTTGATAAATGAGGTTTACATTTCTTGTTAGTAATCTTGCTTTACCTAATTAATGCCTTGAATCAACATTCAAGTTCCACAATTAAGTTGTGTTTAAACTTTGTTGTCCAAATTAACATATTTTTATGTCATAATGCAGAAGTTACATCTGTGCAGACTTCTTCTGTACTTGACTTGAAGAAGTTTGACACTTCTGCCTCAATAAATCTAAAACCTCCACCTGTTGATCGCCATAAATCATTTGATAACAACGAATTCTCAATTAGCTCCCCTATTGTCAAGAAGACTGTGACACCTCCTGCAGATGTGCAATCATATTCTATAGCTGATCTTCAGATTGCTACTGGCAGCTTCAGTATGGATCATCTCGTTGGTGAGGGGTCTTTCGGGCGTGTGTACCGTGCTCAATTTGAGGATGGAAAGGTATTTCTTAGCCGTTATTCATGCAATTCAGCTCTATGTTCGATTCCAATAGCAAATATTTGTATTTCCAGAATTGTATCAAGATATTATGTAAATTTCCCAGGAAGGGATCAAATCCTAACAAAATCATTTCACATACATGTGGATGCGTGCATATTTTCATACAAATAATGTTCTTTGTTTTAGTATCTTTCTATTCTCTTGATTCCGGGGATATAAAAGCAAAGAATCATGGAAATCCATGCAGACATATTGACATCACTGACATAGCTTACATGATCCCGATATATTCAATGAAGTCTTCTACTGTTGACAAGACTTGAATCATTGAATGTGCTTAAAAACTATTAATGGTTTTAACTTTGTTTTTTAAAATTTTGTAGGTTCTTGCAGTGAAGAAAATAGATTCATCTGTCATTCCCAATGATTTTACAGAAGATTTTATAGAAATAGTGTCAAACATCTCCCATTTACACCATCCAAATGTAACAGAGCTTGTAGGTTATTGCTCGGAGCATGGACAACACCTCTTAGTTTACGAGTTTCATAAAAATGGATCACTGCATGACTTCCTTCACGTGTCTGATGAATTCAGTAAACCATTGATATGGAATTCCCGTGTCAAGATAGCTTTGGGGACTGCACGCGCTTTAGAGTAAGTTAGTTGTGAACTAATGTGATTTGAAGATCCTATCTAATGGAGAATTTTGTCATCATTGCAGAATAATTATTTTAATCTTGTAAATCCAGGTTTTCCATCAATTTATTAACTCATTCCTATATCTCTTCCCCCTTTATATATTTCACTTAGCATCTTACATAACTTCCATGAGGACTTTTATGGCGTGACTGGTTTGATATTTATCTCCTGTGTAACTTACTCTGTTTTCCTAATTAAAAATTTTGTCTGGATTGTTACTATAGCTAGTACTCAAATTTGGGAATGTAAAAATTGATTTTAGATATGTGCCAACATTTGGTAGGACATAAAGCATTGATTTATGTTATGCTTGAGAACTAAGACTTCAGACTGGACTTATCCACAATTTTTTTTTCTAGGTATCTGCATGAAGTTTGTTCTCCATCAGTTGTGCATAAGAATATTAAGTCAGCCAATATATTACTTGATGCAGAGCTTAATCCTCATCTTTCAGACTGTGGATTGGCAAGCTATATTCCAAATGCAGAGCAGGTGATTTTATAGTTTATGGAATTTTATGTTGTGAATTAGTAGTACTATAATTGGTTGTGATTGTGTTTGACCTTGCTAGTTTTCTACATATTTGTAGACTTTGTTGAGCATATTAGTTGGTTAATCTCTTTGAACTCTTGTACATCATGTATGCTGCCTAAAATTCTGATTTATGCCCGATATTCATAAACCCGTCTAGGGATCGAAGTATGGTTCACAGTTCATTGAGTCAAATGTAATTTAAGTGGCTATACTAGTAATAATAACAAAAAATCAAGATATGTAAAATTAATAGCAATAGATTAAATAATGGTCATCTATAAGTAAACTTGTACATTTGTATTTTTGTGTTAAAATGGTTTGGATGAAATAAAAAATGGGAATAGAAAAAAAGAATTTTGGCACTAGTTTTTTTTTTTTGAATTGGTTCAATTGCCTGCGCTTTTAAATCTTTTGGTGTTTTGGATTCTAGTGATTTGACTGGTTCAACCTAACTGTCCAACTTTTTTTTGCCATTGGTTAACATTTATTTAAGTATACAAAGGTTTTAGTTGAGCATCTAATATACTTTATGAATGGAGAATTACCCTAGTTGATTTTTCAAGTTATGAGTAGCTTAGACAAACTTGGGGATATCACATTTTTTAAGAGGCTTGATAACCATATGAATGCAGAATTTAAAATCTAACAAGGTAAACATTGTAAGTACCCTAGGGATCTAACTAACTTACCAAAGAAGAAAATAAAAAACTGCATGCCTGAAATTCCGTTTGATGTATATTATAATTGTTTTGCACTTTAGTTGGAATGTTGATCATACTCTCTATCCAGTGTTATTAAGTTTAGTGAATTGTTGAATTAATAACTTTGTTACATTCAGATACTAAACCATAATGTTGGATCTGGATATGATGCCCCTGAAGTGGCATTGTCTGGTCAGTATACCTTTAAAAGTGATATCTACAGCTTTGGGGTTGTTATGCTGGAGCTTCTCAGTGGCCGTAAACCATTTGATAGGTAAAATATCGATCCTGCAGAGTTTGAAGTTACAGATAATACAATATTATGGGGTGATGATTGTTAAATCATTTTGTATCAGCTCAAGGGAAAGACCAGACCAGTCTTTGGTTCGATGGGCGTCGCCCCAGCTTCATGACATTGATGCATTGGCTAAAATGGTTGATCCTGCCCTGAAAGGGCTATATCCTGTTAAATCTCTGTCACGTTTTGCTGATGTTATTGCTCTTTGCGTACAGGTATTGTTTGATATCTTCATTAGTATGGGCGTGTCTGTGGATAGAAATATTTGTCTGTGTTTATGCATTCTAATTTATAAATTTTTGGGGACAGCCGGAGCCTGAATTCCGACCACCAATGTCAGAGGTTGTTCAAGCACTTGTTCGATTAGTGCAGCGAGCTAACATGAGCAGGCGGACAACATTTGGAAGTGATCATGGAGGATCTCTACGAGGAAGTGATGAGCCAGCCATAAGAGACATCCAAATCGGAACATAATCCTTCTCTTGTATTACTACAATGTCCCCCAAAGCTAATATTGTACTCACATTTTTTTCTCTCTGTTTTTCTAACCCCTCAATCTATACATCTTTCTAAGTTAGATTGATTGCACCATTCATTAAGCAATCTAGACCAAGGGTGTTGCATGATATTTGAGTAACTACTTTTATTTTTGTAATTTTGTAATATAAAGTCAAGGTTGCATTCACCAAAAACAAAAAAGAGTCAAAGGTTGCAAAGTTGAAACTCAATTTAGGTTGATGTTACTATATTCTGTTTATGATAACTACTAATGATCTTAAGAGAGACAAACTACTCTGGAGGTTCTTGTCCAATTTAAAGCTTTGGTTTCATTCTTTATCTTTTAACTTTCTTTTATTTATTAAGTTGGACCTTTATGTATAAATAGGGGTATTTGCTTCTATAACCAAAAAAAAAGAAGTTACTATACACATTTTAACAATTTAAAGGGTTAACATAGTTTAAATATGTGATTAATAAATTTTATTAACCATGAGATTGTTATCAGAATATTATTACCCACGAATTTGAACATGATTTTCAAGTGTTCAAATCTACACTTAGTTGAACACTAAACACCTGAAAATAGAGGAGTGTTAGAGATTTAGAAAATTTGTTGGGGAGAAATTCTCAGAAATAAGTGCCAGAAGTTTGTATGGGAACAAATTCAGCATAAACCATGTAACATGTTGATCATACAAACTATACTCAGAGTATGTTACAAAATATACATAACAAGCAACAGTGTTCAGATCCAAATAGGTCATTCTATTATCATACAGTGTTGACAAATCCCAGTCAAAGCTATGAAGCAGAAAGATGAACCATCTAACTAACTCATTCATTTTCTGTAACAACATTGGACTCCTCATCTTTGCAAAGATACTCATCGCACAATGATGCTGATCCCCAATCCTTTCTTAGCTGCAGGATGTCTCGAGTGAAAGTTGAACCAGAGGCTCCGATGAACACACTAGACATGGCACATATAGTCTTCTCCAACATACCTTCCACCTTAAGCATAACAAATAGTCATATTCAATACAATACACAAAATGCAGTGGCCAAAGCACCCAATAATACAGTCTAGTCATCTGATCTAGAAGCAATTCTCACCTGAGGATCTCCATCAATATGATGTCTGTATAACAAAGCATCCCATTTTTCTGCTGAATTACGAGGTGGACGCTTAACAAGTGGAACAGACCTACCATTTGCTACAGCCAGCGACTGAAGCAGACGGATATCGGATTCTGCAGCATCCGAGGAAAGATAAATGACAGGTGCATTGGCTCTTCCTACCACACGTGATATGCAATCTGCTGCTTGAGGAATCGGATAAAAACAAGTCGTTTGGTTGGCATCATTACTGTCAACATACATGAATATGGATCATTCATTCATTAGAGTGGCAAATAATTAACTATTTAATTATTGAAAATGAAGGAAGAACGCACCAGAATTTCAAAAATCTGTTTCTTGGAAAATGCAATGCAACAAAGTTTCTCCCCAGGAAAGTTTGAATAAAACGCTGAGCAGTGAGCAGAATTAGGCGTGTGGGTTGAATGAGATTGTTGCAGCGGTGAGCGAAGGGACCACTCATCCACTCCATGTCAGCATAGTAAACATCCCCGATAGCGACAACAGGTTCGTCGCTTGAAAACTTGGACACAACATCTTCCACAGTTCTTTTTGTAGGTTTCTTTGTATCTTCTTCCGCCCAAACTAGCTCTGGTTTACTCATAGACAAACCCAACAACTTCATTTTCTTCCTCAAGCGTTCTTGGTCTACAAAACAGGGGTGAGGGAGTGCAAAATAACAAAGGAGCTTAACTGATGTATCAGTAAGGTGATGGTGATGATGATTCTTGGAAAATTCTTGTTCAAAGGGGATGACTACCTTGGTTCCGATGCATTGATTGATGTGATCAATATCCAACACTCTGTCGTAGTCATAATCAACCAGTTTGGAATTGGGAATAATCAAAACCCGGTTTAGAAGAGCCGCGATAAACATGTGCTTCTGCAAGCAAATGAGATGCTCCGATACGCATAAGGCAAGCAAATACTTGTTAGCTTTGGGCTTCCATTTAATGCTTTTTGTATGTGATACATTCCGTCTCAGTGTTCTGCATCTATCATCAAAATCTTCAATTCCATGGGGGTTTAGTAGAGCCTGTTGAATTTGGGAGTTGAGAGAAATCTGGTGGATCAAGGCCGATTTAAGATTGTCCAATTGGGGCGAAGTGGAGTTTAAAGTGCGGAGAAGTAGTGAATTCTGTTGGCGGAGGAGGTAAAGGGCTCGTAATTGGGAGTGGTTGGATTGATGCGGAGAGGAGAAGGTGAGGGAGAAGAGGGAGTGGGGATCGGGGGCGAAAAAGAAGAAGACGATGATGGAGAGAGGAAGAATGGCGAAGAGGTACCTCTTTTGAAACTTGAAGAACTTGAGGTTGGTGGTGAAAAAAGGAGGGGGCTTCGTATGGTTGTGTTGGTGGATAAGTTCGTGTTCTTCTTCTTCGTCGGAATCTCTCTGCATTGCTACCTCTGAGTCTTAGATGAGTTGACGAAAACGACTAGTCGCCGGTTCATTCCAACAACCGGCTGTTAAATAGGCCCAACTACTTCCACCACCTTATTTTAGGGGTTCTCTTTACACCCGTGATCCAACGCTCTATCAAAATCTTAAATAACCCGCATCATCTACCTATTAAAATTCAAATGCGAATATTATTATTATTATACAACAAATCACTTTATCTGATACACGTCTTTATTTTTGTCAAAAAAATCTCAAGATTTCAATCTCCGAACAAATCTTTAAAATTGTATGCATGTATTCTTTGGGCTGATTAACAATTGGGTGGATTCAAACTTATAGAACTATACATTATAAGTCATTTATAAATCATTATCACAAAGAAATCATACACATTAGTTGTACTGAGATAATGTTATTGGATCACAAGAAGGAAGGCCCAAGAGTACATGATACAAACCCATTGCCTGAATAGCGGTCGGGCGTCCAATGCATGGTGATAGGTTGCACAACACGGGCATGAGGTTGTTCAACGTGTGGTGATAGATCGCCCGAATTTGGGGTGATAAGTCGCCCTATTGGGTTTGGGCCTCTTGAATTAACTCTCATTATCCATTTCCTCAATAATTGGTTGGAGATAGAATCAATAAAGAAACTATCTCTCCCATAATTCAAGGGAGAAATCTCCCATTTGCTTCATATCTCTAATAAGGGAGTTTAGGTAAATGCTTTCTAACCCAACTCCAAGAAGCCTTCTATATATACCTCATTACCAAAATGGGAAAGGGGATCAAATCTTTCACCAGAAAACTAGACACAAAGGTTCTCACTACCCTACGTGAACTAGCCATAAACACACTCAACTACTCTAAATCCACAGACAACTCTTCACCACAAGAGTTGTCTCTCATTGTACTTTTTAACAAGTTCAATTTTCTTCCACCATGAGACCCGGTAAAACTGACTTGGGTCACACCTACTTTCATTCACAACCGCCTCAGTCACCTTTTGCATGTTGGTAGAACGAGGTGCCATAATACCTATCAGCACTAATGTGGTTGTCAACACCATAACATGAGGGTTTGATAGTGAAGCTAACATTGCTCTATTTTATTGTTTTATGGTGTGAATCGTGCAATAGAGATCAAAGTTTAGTGTTTTTGTTGTTTTCTTCATAACCATTTGATTAATATTTTTTATATTTTTGGATTTTTACTTTAGATGTTATTGATCAGTGTTCATTTTCACTTGGTAAATTTTGGATCTCATTCTAAGTTTCATTTCACATTTCTTCAAGTTCGCGTGGAACCTTATTTTTCTAGTTATGAAAAATGCTTTTGATGATGACAACTATTAAAGATGAACATGCCTTTGATAATGACAACAAGACTTTGATGATAACCAAAGAGCGGTTAAAGATGAAACTGGATAACTGGGGTTTGATGGACTTGACACTTTGATGATGGCAACCAAATGAAATATAACTCAAACCTCATCTCTAGCTCAAGCAAGTGTCTACAAGAATACATCATCTAACAAGTCTTGAAGTATATGAAAGTTTGAAAGTCTTCCTAGATACGTCTAAGTGAATATATTATAAAACCAAAAGGGCATTCTCGTAAAGTGAATAAATAAACACAAACGCGCGCACACAAAAGTTTTCAAACTTATTAATCTCAAGAAGACATTTCTAAAAATTTCTTTAATTCATGCGAGAAAAGTCAGAAAATATATGGGCATGTTTTTGCTTTTGCCAATTGATTGGCACCTTGTGGTAATCGATTGGAGAAGTTCAAAAATGTGCCATAATCGATTAGGACAACGCCTTAATGATTGGTCACATATAAATAGATTTTTTTTTTACCTTTTTGAGCTTATTAATTAATAAATTCAGGCATACCAATCTATTGGTACATGGTGCCAATCAATTTTTAAGTCAATTATGGCCATAATTTTTTTCCTTTTTTGTGCCAACCTTTAGCCTATAAATAGAGTTGCCTTCCAAGTGGAATATTTGAAAGAAGAAAAGGAGGCGAGACATTAAACTCAGGGAGAAACATAAAAGAATCTTCTTCCAACGAAGAAGATGAAGTTTGCTTAAAAGCATCCTACGAGGTAACTAAACTACCTTACAAACAATTGTTTAAAATGAGTACTGAGTTGGTTAAAGAAAATAATAAACTTAAAGAATGCAACTTAGCTATTAAGGAGTCTTTAAAATCTCTTAAAGAAGTCAATAAATCATTCAAGGGAAAGAAAATTTTGACTTGATCATATCAAGTCAAAGACCTTTCTTAAATAAGAATGGACTAGGATTTAAAAAGGATAGAAAACCTAGTAAAGGGGTAGATCACAAGAAAAAGAATCATCCAGTTTATAAATGCACACACTACAAAAGATTCAGCCATTTAGAGTCTTTTTATTTTGACAAATTGAAAGGATCTAAAGGTAACAATCTTATATCATCTAGAACTAACGCACTTGGGCTAATAAAATTTGGGTACCGAAGGTGAAACCTTAATATTTTGCATGTATGCTTTGCAGCTCGAAGCTTTAATAATGATCAATGAAGGGCATGTCATAATATGGTTGGTAATACCTTTTAAGGGAAGTTTTAATCAGAGGCTTTTGATATAAAAGGTAGTACATTATTTAAAGGTTAAAATGATAAAAAAAACTCTGATTAATCTTTTAAAATAGTGGATTTAATTTTGCTCATCTCGATAAAATATTTTCACTAATCAAAAAGTGAATTTCTAAGTGGCCTATAGAAAAAGGTTGCAAATAAGGATGAACATGGGTGCAACATAAAAGCCCAAAACCAACATGCTAAAAGTGGGCTAGTCAACCGATTGGCATTATGATGCAATTGATTTAAGCATCTCAAAAATAATAAATTTGATTGTTGGAGCATACCACAACGGCTAGATGGATGATACATAAATGCAACAGTTACTTGCAACCGCTAACTCACAAAATTCGAAGTTGTCAATCGATTGGCACAACCTTCCAATTGATTAGATAAAAACTATAAATAGAGGTAACTTTCTCATTATTCTCATCTTATCCTACTTTCACTTGTGTATTTCTTTAGAAACACTTTATCTCGCTCAATTATCCATCATCACCTCCAATGGCATAAAAAAGAACCTGATACTCCAAACCTTTATCATCCTACTTCTCTGAAGATTTCTCTACTCAAGCTCAAGAGAACAACTTCAATATATACTATGTAGATAGTGAATTGCATGTCTCTCACTACTTGGATGAAAAACTCTTCAAGTATTTCTCTTTCATGAAAGCCTTCAACTTTATCGGCCTAAAGGACTTCATGTTTGAAAAACCTCAAGAGAGGTACCTCGAGTTGGTAAGAATGTTTTATGCAAATCTCACTTACAAAGATGATATTATAAATTCTGAAGTCAAGAAACACCTCGTCACTTTGTCCCTTGAAGATTTTGCATGAGTTTGCAACCTGCCTTTCATTGAACCAGATTATGATCAAACTGATCTTGAAGGTAATGAATTCAACTTTGAGACTTATGCTCACACTCTTCTCTTGGACCCGTCTTCTTTAATCTCATCTCCTTTCATTGTCGGTCTTATATACCCTGATAATATATTGATTCTCGATACAATAAATCATGTGCTTTTCCAAAATAAAAGTAATTTTATCATTATCCAAAAATCAGATGTTCCTGCAGTTTGATTTTTGAAAAACAAAGTTGAGAAAATTTGGGAAGATGTCGTACTTCACCACACGCTAGATAGAAAGAAAAAAAAAAACATAAATGTACCATATGCCATACTAATCACATTTTTTTCCTATACCAACTATGATTTTAAAGAAGAACTATAATTCATGCATAGAAAGATAGCAAAAAGAGTTGTAAGCAAAATGGGATATACTATTCAAGGACGAGAATTTGTTCCACTATCAACAAGAAACGCAAGACAACGAAGAAGCAATGACTTTTCTCCATCCTCCTCAAACACCCTCAATGACATCTGTGATGAGTAAAGGACAATGAATTCAAAGATTAACAAATTCATTAAAAGAATGGTGAGAAAAAACCTCATTTATCCGATGGCTTCAAGTAAGGATGATGATGATGATGATGAGATGAACTTATTGTTTTTTACTTGCTTATATTGCTTACTCCCTTTGTTTGTACTTTTCTCTGAAATAAATAAATGATGTTTTTTCCTTCCTAAATGATTATTTGTTTATATTTACATATTTAAATTATCACAATGCATTTTTACTTGTCTTTTTAATTTCGACAAAGGGAGAGAATTATACTCTCTAAGAAACTAGAGTATACTTTCTAATTAATTGAGAGGGAGTTTGATTACTCCAAATATATATGTTTATTTATTTTTCCAACTCCCTAAAAGATGTGTTGTTATCATTAAAAATAAGGAGAATGTGAAATCTTATTTTTTGTGATCAGTTGATGTTTTTTATTTTTATTGTTCTTGTTCAGTATCTCTTGGTTTCTACTTACATGCTAGTTGTTTAATGTATGTTGTTTCTTCTTTTTGTTCTTATTTTGTCTTCTTTTTTTACCATTATCTTGATTTTAAATTGTTGGAGTTGTTGGAACATACAACTATATTCGTGATAATAAGATATCAGAGTTTTGTTCAATTAAACAAGTAATGCAACAACATCCATGTTTCGAACAAATTAAAGTGAAATCATGAATGTTAACATTCCTACGTCAAATAATAGATGACATGAACACGTGCTTATAAGTGGAGACAATTTTTACTCTATAAATCGATTTTGTAAAAATAAGTTAGGACAAACCATACTTCTTAACATGTTATAAAGAGTCTCGTTTAAGATTTGGTGAACCATTTGCTATCACGTTTCTACTATCGAATTACCCATAATTTATTTCCAAGCTATAAAAGTTTGATCTTGAGTGTGGATTAAGAGTTCTATATTGAACCATATATGTCATGAACACATACTTATAAGTGAAGACAATACTCACCCTACAATTTATTACGTACTTACAAATTTCAGATTAATTTCGTACTAACTTACACTAATTTTTTATAAGTACCCTTTCTAATTATTGGAGAGTTATCACCATTAAACTAGAAGTGTTTATCAAAGTGGTTTACATCACCAATATAAGTCAGATGTCTTAGTGTTTTATTTATTTTCTTATTTATATTTTAAAAAATGTATGTTATTAAACAAAATTGTTTATGAATAAATATAGTTATAATTTGTTATTGGTGCTAAAATTGAAGGGTTAATGATAAAAGGCATATGATGAATGTTTGGTTCTAAAGCTTGCAAAGCGGGTTTTACCCCATACCCCTACACTTATACCTATACCCCTACATTAAAAAATTTTGGACCAAAATATCCTCATATAAAAATTTATTATTTTTTTATTTTTTTTATATTTTTTTATTTGTTTACCGGAAGACTTTTTGGAAGTCTTCCGGTTCACATTTTTTTAGTATGTTTACCGGAAGACTTTTTGGAAGTTTTCCGGTACATATTTTTTTCGTTTGTTTACCGGAAGACTTTTTGGAAGTCTTCCGGTTCATGTTTTTTTTTTAATTTGTAATTAATATTTAAGATTTATTAATTTTATATAAAGACCAATTTAGTAAATTTTTGAATATTATACTTAAAATATAAAAATTTTATAAATAGGGAATCATTTTCAAAATATTTTTTATTTACTATAATTATTAGAATACTAGGATTAAAATCATTTATTTTAAATGATCATAATAGTAGAATTTTCTCAAATATCTTATTAATCTTAAACATTAATAAATAAAATAAATTTAAATATAAGATATAAGTTTACATTATTTAATATATTTAATCAAATGAAAACATATGTGATAAATAAATAATGTATTTTAACTTAAAATGATCACAATAAGTTAACTTGCAAAATAATATAAGTAATAAATTAATAATGTATTTTATTTAAAATAATCACAATAATAAAATACGCAAATAATGTGTTTTATTTATAGGACTGATATAGTTTTATTGATTATTTAATTTTGAATACTACTATGAATATAGTATTTAATCTATACTTTAGAACTCACATAATTATAAATATAAAAAATATTGTTTTATTACCCATATTTTTATTTAATTAAAAAAAATAAGAATATAAATTTATTATTTCTTTTTCATTTTTGTTTGATCTTTTTAATTATTTCACTTTATTTAATATTTTTAATAAAATAAATAATATATTTTATTTAAAGTAAGCACAGTATAGAATATGCAAAAAATTTATAAATAAAAAAAAGATTAAACGAAAATGAAAAACAAATAATAAATTTATATTCTTATTTTTTTAATTAAATAAAAATATGGGTAATAAAACAATATTTTTTATATTTATAATTATGTGAGTTCTAAAGTATAGATTAAATACTATATTCATAGTAGTATTTAAAATTAAATAATCAATAAAACTATATCAGTCCTATAAATAAAACACATTATTTGCGTATTCTATTATTGTGATTATTTTAAATAAAATACATTATTAATTTATTACTTATATTATTTTGCAAGTTAACTTATTGTGATCATTTTAAGTTAAAATACATTATTTATTTATCACATATGTTTTCATTTGATTAAATATATTGAATAATGTAAACTTATATCCTATATTTAAATTTATTTTATTTATTAATGTTTAAGATTAATAAGATATTTGAGAAAATTTTACTATTATGATCATTTAAAATAAATGATTTTAATCTCATTGTATTCTAATAATTATAGTAAATAGAAAATATTCTGAAAATGATTCCCTATTTATAGAATTTTTATATTTTAAGTATAATATTCAAAAATTTACTAAATTGGTCTTTATATAAAATTAATAAATCTTAAATATTAATTACAAATTAAAAAAAAAATGAACCGGAAGACTTCCAAAAAGTCTTCCGGTAAACAAACGAAAAAATATGAACCGGAAGACTTCCGGTAAACATACTAAAAAAATGTGAACCGGAAGACTTTCAAAAAGTCTTCCGTAAACAAATAAAAAAATATAAAAAAAATTAAAAAATAATAAATTTTTATACGAGGATATTTTGGTCCAAAATTTTTTAATGTAGGGGTATAGGTATAAGTGTAGGGGTATGGGGTAAAATTTCCTGATTATAGAGCTCGCAAAACGGGTCCGATCCGTTGAGATGTTTTTTTAATTTTTTTCATGTGGTAAAGTTTTAAAGCGGATTTAATGGTTGATTATAGAGCTTGCAAAGCGGGTCCGATCCGTTGAGATGTCTTTTTAATTTTTTTTTTCATGTGGTAAAGTTTTAAACTCGCACTCTTTAATGTGTCTGTCCCGTCTTTTTACAGATACACTATTATATATAATTTTATAATTTTTAGGTCTTCTGTCTCACTCTCATTTTTTTTTATAGTAAAACTGACTAAAATTTTCAATCTGCATCCTCAAATATTTCCGATCTCCACCGCTCCAATTTTTTAACTTTTGAGAGTCTGGCTTTAATGGGATAGCCATTCTCTTTTGTCACCCTAGTTGTTTCTAGAGTGGTGGAGATGTTGGTAGGATAGAGACACGTAATTACGGTACATTAGTGCCACGTTGAAAGTTGGAAGAGTCGAGAGGATAATGGTGTAGTGAGATTAGATTTGAGGACCCAAATAAACATGTACTAGTACTAAGGGGGAATTTACAATTGATCGAGCAACTAATTTACATGGAGAAGACAAGAAACATATTCTGGGTTGGCAGGAAGTGGAGGTTGTTAAGTAGCAATTACAGAAACACGAGTGTTGGAATTGTTGTTCCACATTCCATGCCTGTCACAACAAAGACCTCAGACCGAGCTGCTGTTCATGGTGTTAAGTCACCTCTTCCTGATATCCTCGACGTACCTTATTCATATCCTAACGATTTTCTTGATTAATATAGGATGATCATGACAAACAACTGAACTGATGTGTGTTAAATTATGTGCAGAAGGAGCAAGCAGAAAAAGATATTGAGAAAGCCAAACAAGACAAAGAAGCCAAGAGGAAACATATTGAAAAGACTATACACTCCTACTTAACCAAATATGATTCACCTTAATAACACATAAATGTTTTTTCATTTTCACTTCATTATTTTGTAACTAAAGCATTCCCATATGTAAATCCTTCAATTGCTCAAATAAACATAGTAAACTTTAAACATAGAATACTCGCACATGCGCTATAGATGTAACTAATTAATTCATAGTTTAATGTAACATAATAATATGATTAATTAATTCATAGTTTAATGTAACAAGATCAAATGAAGTAGATGATTCTATAAACTAACATAAGTACATTCTCTCTTTATAGCTATAATGCTATTTTAGTCTCCATCATTTGGTTGGCTGATAAATCATTTGGTTGATCACACCCTTAAACAAGGGACAATTGTGGTGATCTTAAGAACATTTTACTGTTGCTCTTCACTCACTTCAACAAGCCTTCCACGAACCCACTTTTTTGTTACTATAGATGATCTTGATCTTGATTGTGTTTCATCTTCAGTTGGAGATTCAGATCTTGATAGTGTTTCATCTTCGGCTTGAGATTCGTTTTCGCTGCTCTCATACTGTTCTGTTTCCTTTTCCTGATTGGATGACCTATATTGGTTTATCTGGCTATTCAAACTGAAAGGTAAAAAGGCACAGCCATTGGTTAGGTGAAGTTCTGGATCACCATTATTAACTGGCATCCCCAGAGAAAGATAACCAAAATCTTCAGACAACTTGTAGACGCTTGATGATAATGTTGTGTGTCTATTTACTACACGAGTCATTTGTGAATGGTTTCCAACTTCAAATGTTGATTCGTTTTCCTTATTGACCTCCGAAGGGACATTACAGTCGTCTGTCTTTTGTGTATCAATAGATTCAAGTGATTGAATAGTCTTTTGTGTATCAATAGATTCAAGTGATTGAATAGCTTCAGCTATAAGCTTTCTTGTTTCTATTAGAGAAGACCGAGCAATAGGACTCGTTGCCGCAGCAACCTCAAGTGCCTTGGCAGCTTTCTCAGCTTCAGCAATCAATAGTCTGCGCATATAACATTATTTCATCAATATATACGCAGGAACCTGTATTTTTACAACTTAATCTCAAAAGCAAAACAGAAGTAACCATAGTTCAGTGCATCCGTTGTTAACATTTTCTCAAAAGAAGTCACCCATATACAAAATTTCAATTTTCAGTGTATGTACATAAAGGTTTTAAAGAAATTAATAAAAATAGAAGGAAATGATATTGCTGATATGTGTTAGTAAAGAAAAAGGTTCTACCTTGCTTGTTGAATGGCCTGAGTTTGTCTGGTATCCACAGAAACCCTCTGCGCTCTAATGTTCTTTATCATCTCAAGCTTGGAATTCACCAAAGGATCCTTATAGGCAGGGGATTTAATTTTTCTCAACTTGATCGGCTTAACAATTTTGGAGGAACTCTTTACAAGAGTGCTATTATCAGAATCTTTTTTTGTAATGGGTCTCTTCGTCTTGGGGGTTTGTGCACTATATGGCCTTGGTCTAGGTTTCTTTTGGGTAGAAATCTTTCCAGTAGAAAGATGACGCTTGGCCATTGCAGAAAGAACTTTTTCACGGTAATCCTGATATAACAGAAAAATATGAAAAGAGAAAAGTAGCAAAAAGGGGAACAACCCTCCAAAAACAAATTCAAGAGAAAAGTAGGAAAAAGGGGAACAAACCTCCAAAAACAAATTCCCAACATAAATAGTTTGACAAAACTTTTTCTGGGTACAATACTTAAAGTGAAAGTTATCTAAATCATTTGGTGTATAATGTGTAAGTTGAATCTTGCAAGATTACAAATCAAAGTCTACAGGCAAAGGATGGAAACATCCAAGATGGTAACATATAGACTTACGGGATTGGCCCATTTTGCAGTAATGGATGCTGCAATTTTTTTTCTCTGCTCAGGGGACTTGGGTCCTCTTTTGCTGGATGATTCCCTTGTCATTAGTTTCCTTAGTTCAGCATTCCTCAACGACTCCTGTTTAAGCTGAGCATCCAGTGTTTCATAGGAATTCCATTGCAGCTCTTCCTGACCAAGAAAGCCTTGCCTAGATGCTTGGGCAATTAAATTTTGCCACTGGGAGCAGCAAGTGTCTTGTAGGATCTTCATTCTACGCCTCTTATCCCATAGCTTTCTGACTCCAAGAGATATCCTGTGTCTTGAATCTGCACTGTGTAAATGAATAAAGGAGGAGATTGTATGAGGTAAAGAAGCGGCGTTTAAAAGTAAGAATGTATTGATGGAAAGGGTCCTAGTTACCTCTGTGTACGTCCAAGATTCACTAACTTCATTTTGACCTGAATTGCGAAAATATATTAAGGAAATAGTTAGGAAAATGGATAGAAAGAATGAAAAGAAAACAAGAATTTTATGAGAAGAATAAAGTGTTATCTATGTGAGTAAGTGGGTAAAAATGGAAATGATTATGATGAAGTCTTACATGACATCACCTTTGGATTCTGCATTGCAATGAGTGTTCTTTCCTTGATCTTCCGCAATGTTTCTGCTCAAATAGGAATAACAAAGCGTTAGGATTAATTGAATAGAGAGACCGGGAGGTACAAATAGTTAGTTACCGGGAGGATGCTTTCTTCCTTTGTTCCACGGAGCTTTTCCTTTATTAGATTTAGAAATCCTCAATCTTCTCAACCTCTCACTCTCTTTAATAACTGGTTCTTCATCAAGCATAATCCCAGGGTCAGGTTGGTGATTGTGACCGCCAATTTCGGTCTCGTTAGATTTAGGTTCAACAATGATGGCGGCAGTTTCGATGTCCTTAGATTTAGGTTCAACAATGGTGTCGTTAGATATAGGTTGAACAATGGTGGCGGCGACGGCTTGGATGAGGAACGGTAACCTAGGGCGTGGAACATTGAAGTTGCGTTTTCGGAATACATTCCAATGGGAGGCGGAAAATTGAGAGTGTTTGACATGATAATAATATGGCAAAGGTGCCCTCAGTAAATGTGCATTTGTTATCTCTGCTAACATTTCATTTAAAGAAAAAAACAATTAGCAAAAAAAAACTGTTAATAATAAGAATGAAAATAGAGAGAGATATTTACCAATCAAAGGCATGGGGAGGATGAAATTAGAAAAAGGGAGCAGAAAGAAACATCTGAGAATATATCATATGGAATTTGGTTAGGGTGGGATAGGAAGAAGAAAACCAGAGAATACAAAGAGGATAACGTTGTGAATTCTGAATGGAATAGATTCGGTATCTTTCTCCTCACTCATGGGCCTCTAACCACTCTCCTTTCTTTTACTAATACACCTCTATACTCTCTCATTAAACAACTCTCTTTACATTTTTTTAAATAATTAATTTATCAAGGAATTTTCATTTATTAATTTTATGTTTAATATCAATTTTTAGGTTTTTTTTTTTTAAATTTAAAAATAACAAAATATAATTTGCATTGTTTCTAACCTACCAATTAAATATCGATTAAATACTGTATATGTATTCCTCCTATAATAAATACATCTTTTTTTACCATACACCTGATAAACACATGTCTTTGTGAAAATATCTTTTAACAAAATAATTCAACAATGAAATTATTGTAACCCTCTTATCCTCGTTTTTTTATTTTTGCATTTATAAAAATCTCCTTTTTCAAGGCTTCTTTTTTCCTTACATCACTCGTAAAATATCCTTTCATTCTTCTTCTTAAAGATTAAGTTTTTTTTTTGCATTTCTACCCCCATCTCTCCCCGTCCATGTTCACGCTGTTGTAATAATAGACTTTTCTATTATCGAAAAACTCGTCATTTGATAAGATGTGCATATTTCTTACACATTAGTTATCATAAATGTGACAAAAACAAAATAGGAAAGGATTATTATTCAATCCAAATTTAAAGTTTACATGGGTCTATATTAGGCTTATATACAAGTGTGGTAATAACAAACCGTGAGAAAATGTCTTTAACAACTCAAACAAACATAACCACCCCAATAACTAACCAAAATAAAACATAATAAATTAGTCTTTAACACCCCCCACCACACACAAACTGTAATATATAAAATACAAACCAAGTTTGAAAACTAGGGAATTAAAAGGGTCAAAGTGTAAATCTTTGGTGGAGACAACGGCTAGTTGGTTGATCAAGTTAATAGGTTAGAGATGAATAATCTTATCTTAAACCTTAGCAAAAATCAAGTGACAACCCATTTCTATGTGCTTTGTACGTTCATGGAAGACTGAATTGTTGGCAATGTGAATGACATTTTGGTTGTCGCAGAAAAAAGTGATCGGTATGTTGTGCAAGATGTTTAAGTCAAGAAAAAGATATAAGAGTCATTAGGCCTCACATGGCCAAAGCTCTATATTTAGCTTCTGGGGAGGAACGACTAACCACTTGCCGCTTTTTACATCTCCACCTTATGATGGACGAGCCTAAAAAAACTGGTTGTTAATCTTCTAGTGAGAGGGCGGAATTCTCAGTCTGAGTTTGCGAAACCTGTTTAGGTGAGCTTGGAAGATTAGTCAAATGGCTGGAGAGTTCTTGAGGTAGTTCACGATCCAAGGTGCTTATTAGAAATCTACGGACATGAGCTTTGATAAAAACTAATTCAACCAGTAGACATGATAACTAATGTCTAGAATAATTGAGATAAATAAGTTTACCAATTAATTTTCTCTATTAGGTTGGGACTGAGAGGTAACTATAAAATCAAATTTTAAATTATGTGAAGGATCCATTGGTGTGAATGTTGGCTTTGTTTTCAATAATAATGTGTTTTGTAAAAGATATAAGTAATATTTATGTTAGCATTGGGATATCTCTTTGGATGATCCAATTATTTCAAAACCAAGGAAATAATTTAGGTCACCAAAGTTTTTGATTTTGAATTGGTGATCTAAAATAGTTTTGACATGATTAAATGTTGTGAATCAGATACCTTTAAACAAAGTATAAACGATTTTTTAACGATCAAAAAACTCACAAGGGTTAGGGTTAATAAAGAATACAAGGTAAAACAACAAGGAACAACAAGGATTAGTTATTAAACTGCTATTTTTTCCTTTCTCTTAGAACAAGATTACGAGTATACAAGAATAACAAAATAACCTCTCTCCCTTGAAATTAGGATTTTATCTTCCTATTTTTTTCCTTATGCCAAGATTGAGAAACTAGCATCCTATTTATAATAAAATAGCACACTAATCTAATGGACTTTTTAACAATTACCCATTACAAGCTAACTTAGGATACAGGCTAACTTAAACAATTGGGCTTACAAGCAAAGCCCAATTCAACATGCTAACAACCCTAGCAATATTGTCTAATGCATGTTAGAACAAACCTCAACTACAACACGCATTACTTGTGAACAGACTTCGACAACACTAGAGTTCGATCCAACGTCTCACATTAAAAATAGACAATTTGGTTCTTGCGGTAATCAAATCATCGACATAAACAAAAATAGAAGTAAACGAGCTATCTTGATGCATAATAAATAAAGAGTACTCAACTTTAGATTGAGTAAAACATAAGTAAAAAATAGTAGTAGTAAGTTTGTTGCTTCGTTGTCTATTGACTTGCTTAGGGTCATATAAAGAATTTTTAAGTTTTTAAACTATATTTTTTATATTAGTGTGGAGACTCAAAGATGTTTTCATATAAACCTCTTCATCCAAGTCTCTATGGAGAAAAGGTTGTATTTATATCAAGCTGATATAAAAAAAACTAACCTTTGGAAGTGGTAAGAGAAAGAGGTAATCTTAAAATGGTCATATTAATAGCAAGACTAAAGGTTTCATGTAATATAAGCCTTTAGTTTGGGTGAAGCGTTTTGCAACTAAGCATGCCTTGTACTTTTCAATGGTATCATTGGATAAGTACTTAAGTTTTAAAATCCACTTACATCCTATAGTTTTCTTATTAATGGTAAAAGTAGTTAATTCATGAGTATTATTATTAACATGGGCTTGTAATTCTAAGTCTATAGCATTTTTTCAATTAGGTTCAGTTATAAAATAATTGTAGGATCTGAGTTCATTAATGGTAGAGAAAGATAAGTTAAATAATTTATGGTCAAAAGATAGGGTCAAAAGATATGGTAAGTTAAATAATTTATGATCTAAGTTCATTAAGTGAAATGTAGTTAGAGACCGGATAAATAGGAATATCTTTAGTAGGATATGATATTACCTTTGACTAGGAGTGAAAATAGGTTGGGCTGAGTTAGGCTTTGCCGAGCCTAAGCCTGACCTGCAAAAAATTTCAAAGCCTAAGTCTGCCTTATGGCCTATCGTAAGCTTATTTTTAGGCTTGTGTATGACCTTTTCGAAAGCTTGTTTGAGCTATTAGCCTACATAAAAGCCTATTGTATTTAAACATTTGTAAATAAACAAATACATTAATATTTAAATAGACTAACAAATTAAAAGATCAATGAGACTAAATATTTATTTGCACTGACTTATTCAAGTTTACATATTAACATATGTTTTGTGATACTATTTGTTTGAGAGAACTTATGAAAATAACTTATGACATTGTTCATAAGGCTTTTTCAACTTATTTTCATAAGTTCTTCAAGATAACTAAGCTTTACTTTTTTAATTTTAGTTCAAAATACAAATACAATATAATAATAATAAAAATATTATTCATATTTATTTAAATAGGTCGGTCTGATAGACTTAAAAGGTTTTTTTATGGCCTATGCCCTAGTCTTTTTTTAACTAAATAGGCTTATAAAAAAGTCTAGGCCTTTTCGAAAAAAAGTCTGGCATACCCCGAGCCTATGTATGATAGGTTGTAGGCCCCTGTTATTTGACTTGACATATTCCCGCCCTTACCTATGACAAGGGAATAATGACAATCCTAAAGGTATTGTGGAGGCTTTGAGATCTGAGTAAAATTTCTTACGGGGGTGAATGTAAGTATAAAAAGTAATCTAAGATGAGGGTGAATTAGATTAGGTAGTATTTTAGACTTCTTCTTTTTTTTCAAGTGGTGGTTTTTATTTTATTTTTAAGTATTGATGAACTTATGATGTAAAGTCCATCATGTAAATGCAAAAAAATAAAATAAAGAATGTGATAATATATCTTGGTTCCTCTTTCAAAATAAGAGTACTCCAATATCCTTACACCTCGTGAGAGATTTCACTATGTTAGAAAATGTTACAGCCTCACACAAAGACTTTCTTAACTTTCTAACACAATCAAGAAGACGTGTCACCTTCTGAATTTACAACACACAAAACAATGTTTGTAAAAATCTGAAATGGAAGAGGTAATGTGAAACATGAAAAATTATGATTTTTATAATGTTTATGATACCTCTATAAACCAATGAAAATGCTTAGTAATACTCATGATTCAATTGGAAATGATTCTGGAAAAGTACGACGAATCAATGTAATGAAGAAGTATGAAAAAATTTCATAATTTTTCAAAATGTTACAGGTGTAATCGATTCACAAATATTTCAACCGGTTACATTCTTTGTAACATTTAAAAATTTTAAGAATTTACATAGGTGCAATTGGTTATCTTATTTTGCCAACCGATTACACTATAGAAAATTTTTTTAAAAAATTAAGACATAACCAAAATGCATTCAGTTAACTTATTATGCTAACCAATTACATTAGTGGAAAAATTAAGTTTTTCATCTCAAAATACAAGTGATTCTGATGGACCCTAGTTTATGTTAAACAGTTTGGTAATTAACATCTTCCTATGGAGGTTGGCGATGAACTGTTCTACCAACTTCCTTACCAGCTCCTAGTAACTGTTGATAGAAGCACGAGGTAAACTCATATACCATCTGTGGGTGGCGTTCATAAAAGTTCCAGATAACATCTTGCACTTCAGGGAATCGGGCACTCTGATGACGGCCACCTGCATATTAATAAGGGAAACATGCTCGTAGGGATCATTGTGTCCATCAAACTTGGCCATGGAGGGAGGTTTGAAATCCTCTAGGACATGCGCCCCCATATCTCGTCTAAGAATGGTTAGGGGTCCTATAATCCCATTTCCTCCAAGGGTTGGAATCTTGTTGGCGTTGTCTGATGTTGTGGACGTCGTCTTCCAATGTATGAT